TTCCACCAAATCGAAAAAACATTTTCAAGAAGGAAAAAGAAAATAACGGGCCCAAATATCACCCAAGATATAATGAGTCTATGTGATTAACTAAAGATCAATATTATTAGGTGATTATAATAATAAATAAGAATGTTGCAGTAGATCTCCTGAAAATTCAGTAGAACTGGCAAGCCTGTCGCAAACGATGTCGCGCACTTGCAGTGATGCCAGTTCGTGAAGTGGTGGTAAAAAGTACATTATATTGATATTATCTCTTATTTCATCATGAGTGATAAACGCACGTTTTAGCGTTTTCATTCTTAGTAAAGAAATTTCAAGATTTCTTGTGTTCTTGACAAGAAATTTTCGTATTGACATAAAATTTCTTATCTTGTCTTGAAATTTAAAATTACTTCTTGACAAGATTTTGAAATTTTCAAGAAGTTCGCGACCCCTAACCGTACATATACCAACTGGTTATCGATCTATATCGGGGTCCTTCACTCTGCTGTGTATAGTGGGTTGTTTGTAGGCTATGTCACTAACTCCATACACCATATTAGGAGCAGCACTCTTGATTAGAACGTAGCATAGCCGATTCTGTTGTTACGATCGGTCGTGATGATAGCCACTCCCAGCAAGAAGTACCTATTCGTGTAGCAATTTGTGTAGGATATAGTGATAGTGTTTGTGTTTGGTCAAGTGTGGAAACATAAGCCCAGCGTCAACCTGTATCGAAGACTTTCATATATTTTTCGCAATATCGGTGTACTGGGCGTATTATTTCCTCCTGCGGCTATTAACATTTTGATATCGATATAGATAGGAGTAATTTCTATTTGAACTTCTTCTGTTCGATAATCGAAGACAAATTCGTCTGTTCACTATACCCTACAGGCCTACACAGTTGATGATGGGATTTCAAATTCAAATTTTGTTTCTCCCCAAACAAGGTCAATAGAAAATATTATATATTTTTGAGATTTAAATTTTTTCAAAAAATCTCCCGAACCATTCGATTTTTTTCGATTTTCTCAACGGCATATTGATTTATTATGTGCCACCATTTAGTAATATAAATGAATTATACAGTGTGGGAACTTATGTTGATATAAAATCGTATATCCATCATAGAAATATATTTTCAACAGGTCGTTTTTTTTTGAAAATCAAATTTTCAACATAAAAATTTGCATCTACCTGTCAAATTCCTACCCTACAGATTAACCCCTTCAAAGTTTAAAAATTGTACAAGTGGGATATATCAAGTTACACCTTCTTAGAGAGGAATTTCAAATCTCTATACAAAGGTCTATTTTTCTTCAATTCAGTTGAGCCATATCGGCAAGAGAGCACTCGGTAGATTCAAAATTTATTGGTATTTTTGTCTGAATTTCTGTCCAAATTTTTGTCAAAATTTTTGGTAATGGTGTATAGGTACTGTTCGTTGTATTACTTTCACAGATAATTTACCTATACATTTGAAATTTTAAATAAGTTTTTTATGCCTAAAGTCTATCTAGTTACATCCTGTATATCACGGAAACGAAAGTCCCGTTTGCAAAAAATGCCTGTAGGAACCTTTATATTTCTTCTACCAGAAATACGCGCTCGTGATTTTCTGCCGTGTATTTTTGAAACACTCTATATACACATACACATGTATAAGAAGCCTAAAATTAGAGAAAAAATCTGTATTCAGAAAAAAAAAGTCTCAATTCAGATAACAAAGTTTGAATTCATAGAATGAAGTCTGAATTCGGGGGAAAAATGTGTGAATTCAGTAAAAGAAGTTTTTAATTCTGGAAAAAAAGTGTTAATTCAGTGGAAAAAGTATGAATTCAGAAAAAAAAATCTGTATTCGGAAAAAAAATGTGAATTGAGAGAATAAAGAGTGAATTCAGTGAAAAAAGTTTATATGAATTCAGAGAATGAAGTATGAATTCAGAGAGATAAGTCTGAATTCATAAAATGACGTCTGAATTCAGAGAAAAAAATTTGTAATCAGAAAAAGATTCTGAATTGGAAGAATGAAGGGTGAATTCAGAAAAAAAACTTTTTTATACATTAAAGTCTGAATTCAGGGAATAAAGTGTGAATTCAGAGAAATAATTATGAATTCAGAGAATGAATAATGAATTCAGAGAAAAGAGTCTGAATTCAGGGAATGGAGCGTGAATTCAGAGAAAAAAATCTGTATTCAGAAAAAGATTCTGAATTGAGAGAATATGAAGTGTGAATTCAGAGAGAAACAGATCAAAGAATTCTGAGAATAAAGTATATGAATTCAGAAAAAAGTTTGAATTAATAAAATAAATTCTGAATTCAGGGAACAAAGTGTGATTACAGAGAAATAAGTATGAATTCAGAGCAAAAAGTCTGAATTCAAAGAAAAATGTCTGAATTCGGAGAATAAGGACTGAATTCAGAAAAAAATTTAAATTCATAGAGAATTCATAGAAAAAAAGTCTGAAGGTGTCATTATTTGAATCAATTATCTGGTATGATTCATTCAAATTTTCGAATATCCCAAACTATGCGAAAAAATGGAAATTCTCAGTTCATAACCAACTAATATGGATTCATCACAGCTTCTAGGCAGTCATTGATGTCTTCTTTTCGGATGGTCTGATAGTCGTGTAGTTCGTTACATTTCAGAAGAAAAAAACGCGCAAGAATTGATGTTTCTGTGTCACAGACCATATTTTCGTTCGGAGCACTTTCTTCGATAACCTACATTATGCCTACATCAAGATGCGGTTTCATCGAGAAACGGGTATAGCAAGTCAAATGTTACAGTGATGCGCTATGAATGGAACCTGATATCAAACACATTCCATAATGCTAATGCTATTCGTGTAGCCATTCCCATCATCTTATTTTTATTCACTATATCGCATCTTGGAATCTCGCTGCCAAACTTTCATGATGAACAATAACCACTGAATATCAGTATACAGGGTGACTGGAATTCGAGGCTCATCATTGGGATCTCGTAAAACGCGATACAGGGTCCGTTAAATCATGGAAAAGTTGCGCAATTTGATGCAGATCAAAACGCTGCCTCAAAAGTTTGAAAATCCCGAATACTTCCGAAGATATTTGAAAAAACCCGAATATCCGCGATTTCGTTTTCATTTTTTTCTGACTATATTTGGAGTGATATGTCAAAATGAATATCATATGGGCATTGCCACTTTTTCTGCACTATCCAATGGCATTAATAGATTCATGATCCGACGTTTCGTCTTCCAGGAGCCATCATCAACTTTGTTTTTTTAAATGGTCGAAAAAAATTGTTCGTTCCTAAATAACTCCAATTCCAATTCTGAATCAAACGACATTTAAGACTTTGCAATTATCCTACGTTTAGGACCAAAAAAGCATTATCATTGTTATTTGATGATGGTTACGAGGAAACGAAACGTCGGAACAAAAATCTGATGACGGCATCTTGTAGAGAAGGAAAAATGACTGCGAAAATGTCAAATTCATTGTGGTCTATCTCTCGGTCTATCTCTATTTTAGTTTTCAATGGAAAGTTATTCTCCAAGTTTCTAATTCTGAGAAATGATCTTTTTCTGATTTTACTATAAGAGATAGACCAAAATGAATTTGATATTTTCATAGCCATTTTCCTTTCTCTACAAGTTGCAATCATTAGATTTTTGATCAGACGTTTCATTTCCTCGTAACTATCATCAGATAACACTGATAATGATTTTTTGGTCCGAAACGTAAGAACATTGCAAAGTGTTATAATATGTCGTTGGATTCAGAATTGCAATTAGAATTTTTAGTAACAAAAAATTTATTTTCGACTATTTAAAAAACAAAGTTGATGATGGCTCCTCGAAGACGAAACGTCGGAACATGAATCTATTGATGCTATTGTATAAAGCAAAAAAGCTGGTAATGCTAATATGAAATTCATTTTGACATATCACTTCAAATAAAGTCACAAAAAATAAAAACGAAATGGCGGATATTCGGATTTTTTCAACTATCTTCGGAAGTATTCGGAATTTCTGAACTTTTGAGGCGACATTTTGATCAGCATAAAATTGCGCAACTTTGCCATAATTTAACTGACCCTGTATCTCTTACCAGCCACCCTGTACAGCCTGATTCACGATGGAAGGCATATTGTTTCTGGAGAACGTAACTTGGGATTATTCTGAAAATTTGATGCCTTGGATAATTAGTTGTGCTCTATCGACCTGGAATATTCTCAGCGCTGCGACGTTGCCGCTTATAGTGAAAAGTAGCAACAACTTTGATTTTTAAATGGGACACCCTGTATATTATTCCATTTTCAGATTCTCCCTGAAGAGCTGATCTCATTGACCTATAACACTTGGGGTCTGGCAGTGACAATTTTTCAAAATTTCATCTCTCCAAATAAAAAAACGACAGGCTGTTACATGACTCCTGTGTCACCCGGTATATTCGGATGTCAAGATGATTAATTCAAACTTCAACGCCCTGTATCTCAATAAAACGATGTTGAAGAGTACCTTTATGTTCATCGAAATATAGCGATATGATAGTCATCAGAACTTGATCGCCCTGTATATGCCCTGTATAGTCAAAGTCAAAGTCAAAGTCAAAAAGTGCTTTATTGTTTAAGAATGAGATGCTCGTAACAAAGCATGGACGATCAAAATGTAAAATATGAAAAAATATCGAATAATATAAATATGAGGCATTACTAAGTTACAAGTACTTATACGTTGATAAATGAAGACAACATTACAAATAATAAACTAACAAGAAACAAACACTAGACAATAAATTTAAAGCTTAAATTATGTCGAGGCAGAGCCTGCTTGTGGGGGATCAATAAAGTCAGTTGGAAAATAAACAACTTAGAAAGTAGTATCTGCTAGGAATTGGTCATCATATACTTATCGCACCTGAGTGAAAAAAATGTGATCATTTCGGTTCTCCCTGTATAGTGAATTCAACCTGATATTTGCATCTATCTTTCCTATTTTGATTTTCGTTTTTTTTTGCAGGGAAGACATGGAAAAAGTGAACATCAAATTTCACGATAACGGTACAGTGTCGTTTCAGCACAAGAAAATTCTTCAGTTCGTTCCTGAGCTCTCTGTCAATAAGGATGAGAAAATTGTCGTACCGAATATCCCGCTATTGGCAAGTAGAAAATTATACAGTGTGGATTTTGGAAATTGAATGAATTCGTCACTCTCCCAAATCAAGAATATTTCGAAGAAATCCTTCGACAGAAGGCGTCTTTTTCTCATTGCGACACTTTGTATATGTACTTAGAATTCACGAAATGCGTCTTCAGCTTTGTTCCATGGGGAGGGGGAGTAATTCATGGTGCGAAGGGGGGGATGCGGCAAAAACCAAACAAGCGCCGCAGACTAAAATGTTTTGTTGTTCAAGGTCGAATGCCTTCAAATTGATAGTTGAGGTTGTCGAATTATAAATGTCAAGTTTACTTCGACTAAAAAAAATGCTCGAGTGTAATTTGGTAAGACAATTTATTTAATGATTAATTTCTTGTACTCATTTCAAAAACACCCCGTATATATTTGACGTCCGTACACTATCATTATATCGGGTATCAGATGCAAGAAATTCATGAAAATGTGCGTGCTTTATTTGAAATGACGCTCTCTTCGTTTAAAATATATTCGACAATGCAGTGTTGCCGTTTCTATCAGAAAGTAGTGTGGATGTATAAATAAATATATCGGACTTAGAATTGATTGAAGTCTATATTTTATATCTTGACAAATCTCAATAATCTTGACAACTTCAAAAGTTCTAATTACAGGGAGATACCTACTACATTACTCAGTACAGTACTACAGTAGCAACAACTTTGTTATTTCAAATAGAATATACCCCCCTGTATTTCATTGCATTTTTAGATTCTTCGTGAAGAGCTGATTTCTTCTATGCATTACACTCGGAAATGATTACAGAAATATATAGGGTGTTTAAAATCGAGATTTTTCAACTAGGATTTTTGGTGTCGAAACTATTCATTATTTATTCAAAACATTTTACATGTCCCCATCTCAACTTTCGATTAACTATCAATTGAAATTTAAATGTCGGGACATGTAAGCAGTTTTGACCAATAATGAATAGTTTCGACACAAAAAATCCAAAAATTGAGAAATCTCGATTTTGAACACCCTATATCTCTGTAATCATTCCCACAAGACCACAAGTGTGATGCATTGATGAAATCAGCTCTTCAGGAATAATCTAAAAATGCAATGAAATACAGGGTATCCCATTTGAAACAACAAAATTTTTGCTGCTCTCTCTAGTAGAAGCGGCAACACTGCATTGTCGAAATATATGTTTTTCTACAAGCGTGCGTGCAGCAGTAGTGCTGGAAAAGTTTTCCCACACTAGTGCAGGAAATTTTTACCCACAATAGTTCTGGAAATTTTGTCCCACACTAGTTCGGGAAAACCATGTATACAGTGTCATTCATAAAGTCGGCATCATGTGGGAAAAACTTTTATTAATGACTTATTTTGAAATTCGAGTTGGACGTTAAGTTTTGCTTCAAAAAAGATGAGAAATGGCCTACTCAATCGGGATCACGTGACTTTCGCTACATGTCAAAAGTGAAATTTTTTCAAATTAATCGCTGAAAGTAGGCTTATTTGTTCGAATATCGAAAAAGTTTACTTGAAAAAGTTGTTTTTATTTGAATTTTACATAATATGTGACTCGGATTTTATCTTTCTATTACATTTTTTAGATTTCGATATTTTTTAAAAATTTTCGAAATTTCTGTAATATTAAAAAAATTCTAAATTCGATAAAACTACTTCACACCAGTAGTTTCATCATGCTACTAACTCTCAATTACTAATTATCACTAATTTTCGACAAAGATATGATTTTCTTCAGAAAATGATAATCTCCGCTTCAAAATTCTGTTATGTTTGATGCAAACATAACATCAAAATTCTGTTATGTTTGAGTCGAGCATTTAGAAACGAAATTCATTCAAATTTATTTTTTCAGTACTGAAAAGATCAGTTTTAATGAATTTTGTTTCTAAATGCTTGACGATATATCAACTCTGCATCAAACATAACATAACAGAATTTGGAAGCGGGTATTATCATTTTCTGAAGAAAATCATATTTCTGTCCATAATCAGTGATAATAAGTAACTGAAAGTAAGTAGCATGAAAATGCTACTGGTATGGAATTAACAATTCTCCAAATATTACAGAAATTTCGAAAAATAAAAAAAAAGATCTTAAAGTTGCAATAGAATGATCAAATTCGAGAAGCATGTGTAAAATTGAAATAGAAACAACTTTTTTCAGTAAACTTTTTCGATATTCGAACAAATAAGCCTACTTTCAGCGATTAATTTGAAAAAATGTCACTTTTGACATGTAGCGAAAGTCACGTGACCCTGATTGAGTAGGCCATTTTCCATCTATTTTGAAGCAAAACATAACGTCCAACTCGAATTCCAAAATAAGTCATTAATAAAAGTTTTTCCCATATATGATGCCGACTTTATGAATGACACTGTATATTATTCTCGCTTCGCGTCGTTCGGGTAAACGGCATTCGCGTGCGGGAAAGCATCACTTTCCGCACTTGTTAGAAAAGTTACTATAAACGAATAATTTCAAATATCGACATGCCACAAAACATACGCTGATGCTCTTAGATTCCATCCAGAGAAGAGCCATTCGCCTGGTGGGTGACACCATAGGAACACCGTAGAAAGGTCGGCGACCTTTCACTTTTCTATCGATACTTTTATTCCACGGGCAATGTTCTTCGGAAATCTCTGCTATCATCCCTTCACTAGCAATACCAGTCAGACGAACTAGACAAGCCCGGTCAGCACATCCTTTCGTTGTCAACCTCGAAAGATGTCGAACAGCACTTTATCAAGACTCCTTCATCCATAGAACGGCTAGGCTCTGGAATTCATTGCCTGTGGAAGTATTCCCATCAACATATAATCCTCAGAAGTTGAAAAAAGAATCCAATACCTACCCCCTGTCCCTATCCTTCCTAGGAACGCACGATGTTGTTTGAACATTATAGGGGTTCCCTTTCGTGCGCTCCAAGCGATAAAAAAAATAAAAAAATAAAATGCGAATTTTCATAAATTTCGTGCTACTGATTCTCGATATGAAGATGGTGTAAGCTCGTCGTGAAGTACCCTGTATACCCCAATTTGATCGAGGAATTGATCGTTAATAGGGGTCATTATTCAACCTTGTTGATACGATCTAATCATCATCGGGTCGTTCGTTTTTTTGTTTGCAGACTTTGTCGTCCCAATCCAATAACATGGGTTATTTCGTGCAGAAAACCATATCCGTCATACTGAGCATGGGGTCCTTCAAACCCTTCGTCACCCTCACTGCTAACGAACTAGTTTTCGGTTATGACGATAAATTGGTGGCCCTTGCCCATCAGTTCTACCCCAAAAGGAAGAGGCCTGCCGAAAAGATGGGATTGCTCATCAATGTAAGTAGTTTTCCATGATATTGTTCACCCTGTACAAAAGTTTGGAGATTTTTTTTGTGTGGCATATTCTGTGTTTTGTTTCATGCCGATATGGACACTAATTTTCGAAATAGTGCTGATGATAAGTAAAGACAAGAAAGAACGTTGGGAACGTATCAAAATATCGTTTGTCAATACCTTTTATTGCGGTAACGTTGAATATATAACGTTGAATCAACATTATTCTCAGGATGCTGGTATGTAATATTCCAAATGTGAATTCTACTGAAATATTCCGATGTTGACGTGGCGTTTTTATGTATTTATTTGGAAAAAAAAATTTCGTCGAAAACTAAAAGATAACGATGCAATCAAGTTACCCAGGTAACGTTATTATTTCAACTCATTTATAACGTTGAATCAATGTTTTATAAAAGTAACAAACGTTTTAGTAACGTATAATCAGCTTTGTAGGCTTTGTAGGCACCTATCATATACATATCTACGTATAATGAATGTATGGGCGGGACATTCTTCTTGAGAAAAAAATTATATCTCGGTTGGACTCGATTATCTCGAAAAAAGTTTCAGATAAGTATTGTATAAGGCACCAAAGAGACCATTGAAAGGTATTACGACTTCTTTCATGCTTAGACCGGGAGTGGATTTTTTTCTATGGCCATTTTTTGGCCAAGATATGGGAAAAATCGAAACTATAATAAGAACCATAAGTATGTACTTGTTGATTTTCAATCAGTGCTGAAAAATGGGTGTTTCCATTTGAAAAAATCGACTTCCGGTCTAAAATTCCCACTTCCGTTCTGACCTAATGTCATCAATGGCCCCCTCGGTGCCTTGCAATATTTGTTTTGAACTTTTTTCAAAATAATCGAGTCCAACCGAGGTATAATTGTCTCAAGATAAATGTTATAATTATTATTCTGAGATCTTTTTTTAAGTGAAGCTCGAGAATCAAATATTTTGTTGATGAACTTTCTTATCGGGAATTGAATGTGGAACTTTTTTCACAGAATATTTTTAATGACATGTTCACTTAATTATACTGAATGTACCATTAGGTTGGAAACTATTTCAGATAATTATCAGAAACACCGAAACAAATTGTTTTCTCGTAATGATTCTTTTATGAATACGGTAAAATTCCAACATGTTGCATTTAGGAAAATGAACATTGCATCGCTGAATTGTTTATGGATGTATGACAAAAATTGATATAAATCATACAGGAGGTGGAAAGAAATTCTGAATTGAGAAAACCTAATCACGAATATGAGAATATTTCTTTTCAATCACTGAATAGGTTTGAAATGCCGACTATTAGTGAACTTTATGAGATCTATTTTATGATTTTTTTCCATCTAGGAAGATACATGTAATTATCTACCATTGGGAATTCCTATTTCGCATCAGATATATCTTCTTCAACAAAATTCAACGGTAAATTTGAAAAATTTTAAGTAATCTCAATTATTCTATCAGTGGCATAATGAATTCACATCGAATTTGAATGCTTTGGACAATATCCAGATTTTTCCTCACCACAGTGCCGAAAACTGCTCATTTGCAACTCGTTACAGGATGACTCAATCTTCAGGAAAAAAATTCAGTTTGCGATACTTTGATACCTTCAACCATTTTGCATAAAATTCAAGGTAATGAATGCGATTTGGAAGAATTACCAAAGGAGGAATTCTGAATGGAGGACGAATAAAAATCGATGACGTTCTCACAATCCATTTTTTACTGGCCGTACCTAATATTGAATTGATCTGATTAGGAATATACAGGGTGTCCGCTAAAAGGAGGTCAATCCATTAACCATGCATATATTCCTTGAACAAAAACAATATGAGTTTCTAAATACAATTTTTCATTTCAGCCCTTCATATTCGATATACAGGGTGTCAAAGTTGGAAATTAAAAACTGTTTTTATCATATTTGTTCGGACAATCAGTTTCAACATCACTTCATTGGCATATTAATTTTATCATATGGTATATACAGTCCACGGTTTCTAGAAAGGTGCCATTAGGTATAGTAACATATATCTCTTGTTTTAGAATTTTGTTTAATAAATAGATAGAACTGACATATATGTGACAGGTTTTCATACCAAATTGTCTTCCTTGAATATAAATACAAAAACATGGAAAATGTATATAGTTTTATTAAAAAACCATAAAGGAAATAGAAATTCAGTTGGGTCATCCAACATATTTTGGTCTATTCGAGCGGATGTTAGAACTAGTAGCGGTTAGAGCAGTCAAGAAGGGGAAGAAAGGCGGTACATTTCAAGAACATTAAGCGGTATTTGGATCTGGAGAAGTCAAAGGGCAGCTTCGAGGTGGTGCAAGATCGAAGTAGCAGGTCAATAACATTCACGGTTGGGCACACTAGGCGCAAAAATCAGCATCAAGGAGAGCGACGGGCGCAGTACACAGCTATACTCCAAGGGGCACATTGGGTGCATACACATAATATTCAGGTCAGAAAGTTGCATATTGGAACAGAGTGAGTACAATCTTCTGTGACGACGATATCTACGAGGCATATATCTGAGTTTTGCGGTGGTGAGGGTCATCATTTGGTTTATTTTTCTTTCAAATAAATATCAGCTATGAATGAACTAATTCGGAAAAGAGGGGTCGTCAAGGGGCAATTAACAAGGTTTGAAACTTTCATCAAAACATTTACAAACGATAAAATATCTCAAATACCAGGAAGAATTGAAAAATGCAAGGAATGTTGGAACGAATTTGACATTTTACAATCACAAATAGAGGAATTAGATCTTGAAAATGCCATAGATCAGGAACAAGAGAGAATTTCATTTCAGGAATCATATTTTGAGGTAATCGCAAAGGCAACAGAAATTTTATCAAATAACGGGTCAGTTACACAAATAAATAGTTCTGTAGGTGCTACACCTAGTGGTACTGCTTTGGTAGAAAAAAATGTGAGATTGCCCATTATGGAGATTCCCACATTTCATGGTTCTTATAAGGAATGGTTGGAATTTCATGATACTTTTCATACATTGATACATTCTAATCCCAATCTCACAGATATTCAGAGGTTTTACTATCTGAAGAATGCATTAAAGGGGGATGCAGCTGAGGTCATTCGGGCTCTGGAGGTGTCGGCGCAAAATTATGCTGAAGCTTGGAAATTGTTATCGGCCAGGTATGAAAATAAAAAGATTATAACTATAAATCATATAGAATCGTTGTACAATTTTCAACAAATGTCGAGGGAATCATATTCTCATCTGAGAACATTTGTTGATACAATCAGGAAAGATATTCGTGCATTGAAAACATTGGGTCAGCCAGTTGACACTTGGGATACACTTCTTATTTTTATTTTGGAAACAAAATTAGATTCGGTTACCAGAAGGGAATGGAAAAAACAGGGACAATTAAATATATTTCCATCAATGTCAGAATTTATAAAATTTTTAGATGAAAGATGTCAACTGCTTGAATCAATAGATCCTAATAGATCTTTTCAGAAATATGTACAATCTAATGACTATAAACAAAAGTCAGATAAATTTACCAAGGCATTCACTTCGTCAAACAAACCTTGTACTGTATGTCGGGAACTTCATCCATTGTATGCATGTAAAAAATTTCTGGGATTGTCAACATTTGGAAGGCGGGATGAGGTAAAACGGGCAAATGTTTGTTGGAATTGTCTAGGTCATGGACATAAGGTACAGGATTGTACGATGAGGGGCTGCAAATATTGTGGAAAGAAGCATAATAGTCTTCTGCACCACAGTAATCAAAATACTAAGGTAGAATCACGGGAAAGTCAGGTCAAGGATAAAAGGGACCAGAATCGGGATTCAACAGAAACACAGTTGAATACTGAGCCACCAGGAGCATCACAAACATTTCAATGTGCTGCAGTATCTCAGGAAATTGTTCAGGAAGGTAATTATTCAATAAATCAAAACTTTTCCTCAATGCAGAATATAGATGTTTTGTTATCAACAGCTTTGGTATATTTTACAGACATATCAGGATTATTACACGAGGCAAGGGTATTATTAGATTCAGGCAGTCAATCGAATTTCATGACAAGGGAGTTTAGAAGGGAATTAGGTATTCATCTAAATAATACGAATATACCAGTGGTAGGAATTGGGCAGTCGATTTCGAATATTAATCATTTTGTAAAGGCAACACTGCATTCAAAATTCAAACATTTTTCAGTCACTTCAACTTTCTTGATTATTGATACAATTTCAGATACCACTCCTGTAAAAAAAGTAAAAGCGGACGGATTTGTTATTCCACCAAATATAAATCTAGCTGATTCAAATTTTGCGGAACCGAGTAAAATAGATGTATTGCTAGGGGCATCTATATTTTGGGAATTGATATGTGCAGGACAGATTAAATTAGGTAAGGGTCAGCCAATTCTACAAAAAACAAAACTTGGGTGGATTGTAGCAGGTAATATGAGTAATGTCAGTGGAAAACAGGTAGAACAAGTTCGACTTTGCAATTTTTCAATCAATGACAGACTTGAAAAACAAATTCAAAGGTTTTGGGAGTTAGAGGAGTATAATCAAGAGAATAAATTGTCTAGGAAAGAAGTTCTTTGTGAAAAAATATTTCAGGAAACTACCTTCAGAAATAGGGAGGGGCGATTTGTAGTTACATTACCAATTTCTGAAAATATTAGTGAATTAGGTAATTCATATGAGATTGCTTTCAAGAGATTGATACAAATCGAAAACAAATTGGGAAAAAACAAAGATATGAAGGATCAATATCATGAATTTATGAAAGAGTATATTGATATGGGACATATGACAAGGGTACAAAAGACTTCTAATGAAGGAATTGCGTACTATTTGCCGCATCATGGAGTTTACAGGGATGAATCAATTACAACAAAATGTAGGGTAGTCTTTGATGCGTCTGCAAAAACTGATAATGGCATTTCTTTGAATGATATATTATTAGTGGGTCCTCAATTACAGGAT